ATGTGAAAAGAAGGTCTACGTAGGCTCAGATTCATCTTCCTGTTCCTGGAGCTCAAGCCCAAGCAACCTCTGATGCAAAGCAAGAGGAAAGTGCGTGACATGAGGCTGGGCAAGGATTGGGAGATGCAAGGATCTTGGTTGGGGACTGCAGTAGTAAGCCAGTGTCTGCTTAGCCTCAGGGACTTTTGTAGCAGGCTCAGGGTGGCGTGTTCCAGAAAAACCAGACTATCTGATGGCAATTATTCTGGGATAGGGATCCCACAGCCAGCTGAAAACATAGGAAACGTTTTGGGTTGGGATTTTGGACTGGAATTACACCAGTACTTTGAGACTGACAGCCCCCACAGGAGTCTTAAGTGATTGTGCATGGTAGGACTTCACAACTTGGTCTGAAGCCCTCCTGCTTACAAAAAGTGAACACACAGGCACTGGGTGCAATACAGACTCGGGCACAATGGAGCTCCTTCTAGTCTACACTATAGCAGACTCTACAGGGTCAATCTTCCATCCCCTCCCAGTCTCAAGGGAGCCACTACATGTGGTGGGGAGCAGCACACCAGTGCCTGGGGCTGGTCATGGGTATAGCTTTGGTCACAGCTTTGCTCGTCTTTCCACTGGAGCCATGGTTACACACCTGCAGGATGAGCAGCTCTGGAGTGCATGGGGGATGCAGTAATACATGGCTCTCTGGAAGCAGACTAGGTAACACCATGACAGCCTCGCTGCATTCCCTCTGCGCTGACACCCTGGACCCCACAGCCACCTTCCAGGAACCCAGAATGACATAAATCAATCAATCAATCAATCAAAATTCAGCTCTCAATGGACTGCTGCTCCCAGTCAGGAGGGTGGGCTCAGTAGCAGGGTGCTCCTGACGACAGTTGTGATGGTGATGGGGAGGAGATATAAGGGGAAGCAGAAGCATTCTTCCAGCCCTGTGGGTTCACCAGGTGCTTTCTGGAGGAGAGAGGAGCTTTGGGTTGCAGCTGAGGAAGTCACGCCTCTGCAAGCGGTGTGGAAATGCCAGCTGCAATCCAGGCTGAGGAGCTGAATGCAAAGTGCAAGTGCTCTCACACAAGGAACCAGCTGGCTGTGAAGGGCACTCAGCAAAGGTGGACTGCTGGGATTCCCCAGGAAATGTCTCTCCTGCCTCCTTGGGCGCTTGGCATGCTGCTGTGGATAATATTCGCCTGCATTGGAAACTTCTCTTCCCCAAAAATGGTCCCCAGAAGCTGGGGACCCAGAGCTGGAGGGCTGATCCAGCTATGGTTCCTACCCAGCCCATGCTGCCTGTCCCACAGCTGAACCAGCACAGAACCTCTAGCACAGAACCATTTCTCTCCTTTCCCAAGCATCTGGGATGTAGGTGAGCAGCAGCACCAGCTTGACATAGCCCTGAGCTGCTCCTGAGGGATGGGAAGTCTCCTCACCATGGCAGCTGAGCCCATGGTTCCCCTCCACAGCCTTGTGTGTGCTGTGCAGCAGCTGCCCACAAATGGGTGTCAGCTACTGCAGAAACAGGGAGCCTGTGGTGAAGGCAAAGTGAGGGTGGGAGCCTGCAACTGTAACCCAGAATCCTGGACATGTGGATGCTTGGATTCCTGGATTACACGGGTACATGTGTGATGTGACCAGTTCAGTGCGCACTGTCACTATGCATGTAGAATCATAGAATTGTAACAGTTGGGGTTGTGAAGAACCCTTAAAGGTCACCTCTGCTTCCCTGCCCCTGAGGTGCTCTCCCTTCCTGTGGGGCTCAGCTTGGACATGCTATATTATGTTCAGTGTCTCTGGGAGATGGCTCAGCATCAGATCTGATGGACCAAGCCCCACAGCTTTTGAGCCTATGTCTCAGCATGCTTTTAACATCCTCTACATGGCTCAGGTCTGCTACTACCACAAAAATCCCAGGACCTTCCTGAAGTGAGTCCTATGACACCCAAGGTGCAGCATGTCAAGGCCCTGCAGCAGCCTGTCCCAAGGCTTGGGGTGGCGGGGGTGCCTAGGGAGACCTGGGCTTCTCCCAGACACTCTGTGCCAGCCTGCAATCTGCAGCCCAGGCTACAGGGAGTGAAGCTCCTGGAGCCAAGTGTGTGAGAAGAGACACGCAAGTACTTTCTGCTCCCCTTTTGCCAATATCAGGTAGTTGCTTGGGGTTGATGCTGGCAAGACCTTGCATTGCAGGTTCCTTAAGGGACCTCAGGGTCCATCTGGCCTTATGAAGGTATTGCCAACCTGACAGCACCAGCTCACAGCAAAAACCCCATCATCTTTTAATTAGTTTCCCACTTCCTGCCATCCCTTCTGTGTGCATGTGTTTGGAGGTGCAAATATATGCCCAGGATATTGATCACACCTTAGATCTTTGATCTTTGTAAGGGAATGTAGGCTGCAATTTTGGCCAGAGAACTCTATTTCAAACTTGTGTTTCATTTCCCAAAGCCTTCCCAGGTAAGCATTGCCTGACCTGCTGCTGACATGCAAGGCATGCCAGGCACAAATGTTGCACCTGCTGTAGCTGCAGCACAGTATGTGAATGTCTTGTCCTCCTGCAGCAGGGAAAGAGGAGGATGGGATGTAAGTCTGCACACTAGGACTTCACCAGGATAATGACAGGAAATGCGCTCTCCTAGAATCAGCAGCCTGGCATGGCTGCAGCACAAACTCCAGCATTTCTACTGCAGTGACCCACTTTACCAGCCTGAGGTGATATGGGCACCATGGATGACTCCACAGAATCACTCTTTAGTAGGATAAGATCCGTTTTCTCCTTCAATTCCAGAACACTTTCAGTGCTACTGCACTTACAAGATCAGGATTTGGTTATGCTGTGACATCATTGATTCTTCTAAGCTCAGAAAGGATATGAGAAATACTGAATTTCATGACTATAAAAGCCAAGAGCAGGAAAGGAGGAACAGAACAGGGTTCCCAAACAGCCCCAGATGAAACAGAAGAGCACCACTGCAGCAGCTGCAGCCCTGCTTACAGACCAGGTGGATCTTAAGGTTTATAGGAAGGTGGTGCAGGAGATGCAGCAGCCCTGGGTGTGGTGGGTGCAGGGGCTGCTGCCCTGGGAACAGAGAGTCATTTTCCCATGGAACACAGGAAGTGCCAAGGCATCAGGTCTTTGCTGCTCACTCACCTCACAGTGCTGAGTCCAACAGCTCCTGCAGTGGAGATGGATTTGCTTCCAAGAGCTCTAAGAGCCACCGCTCTGTGGTACCTCTAGCAGCAGCACTTAATTTTCCACAGGAGTGGTGTCAGGCTCAATAAAGGCATTACCTGGAAGGGCAGCACCTAGACCTCTGCCTTTTAAGAAGCTGGGCAAAAGTGTATGAGGTCAGTGACTTTTAAGCTAATAATCAAGCCAAAGCAGGTTAATTCTATAAGGCTGCTGCTGCAAGCTCAGGCTCTGCTTTTGGAGCATCATGCAGATGCTCAGGAGCAGCTCAAGCCAGCATTCCTTTCCTCCTCCTCACACCTACTCTCCAACACCAAGAGGAGACATCATGTCCTGTAGCAGCTATCAATAAAGAAACACAGCAGCACCCCAGGAAAGTACTTTCCCAGTAACACAGAACACCCCTTCCCATCCCCACCTGGTGCTGCTGGGGGTCTAAGTGAAACACAGGAATTGTGCAAATCTGGGCACTGATGCTGCTTTCAGCTGATGGCATGAACCACCCCCTGGGACTCCACACACCCTCTCTAGCACCCTACCAGCCTTGTCACAAGGGCCCTGAAGCACTGGGCTAGGTGTGCCAGCTCTCCCCAGTGCTCAGATGTAGGGATGTTAGGAGCACCAGTAGCACCTCTGCACCCAGAAACAGAAAGAATTTTGAGAAGGCACCAAGCTGCTGTGCTACTGTGGAATGCGGAATGGGCCTGGGATGAGCAGCAACCTGCCCTACTGGAAGTGATGAAAGAACAGGGCCCATGTACATCTCTGATGGCTGAACTCTGGGCAGCAGGGGCAGATGCACGAGACCTTGGCTCACAGATCCCTTTGCAATAAACCCTGCTTTAAACTTCCTGGCTGGAAGCAGCATTTATTGAACCAAAGGCTTAAGGTCTGCAATCTTTGTGTAGCTGTCAGTGATTTAGGTGAGAATAGGAGGACCACTTTAGAGTCTAGGAACACCACCAGCCTCTAAAGGCTCCCTATTATTTCTGCCTCTGAGTCCTGGCACTTTCCAATGGAAAACCAGTTGCTGGCACTTTGCAAAGATGAGTAGGAGCCACATTACACCATAGGGACCACATATGAGATTTTGGCTTGGACAACCATTGGGATATGGAAGAAAACCCCTTTTCTGCTAATGATGCCCTCCAAAGTCCACATACCCTTTTCTCCTGAGATATGCTGTTCACTGAAGAGAAGGCAAATGAAGCTCTGCTCACAGCAGCTATTCCCCCTCCCTCAGGCACAGTTAAGTGGGAAGCCTCTCATTCAGACACAGCCATTCCCCACTACATCCTCTTCACTAATCTGTATCTATGTGACAGCCAGAACCTGTTACCCATCCATCAGCATCACTGTGCTTCTTACCCCTCCTCTCTCTCTCCCCAAAAGCAGGCAGCTACTGGTTCTCCATCTCCCTTAACATCTGCCTTGCTTCAGCAGGCAACCCTACCTGCTGGTGAAATTCATCCATGTCAGGCTGCTCTTGCTGCTCACAGGGTGAGAACCTGCTTGTATCACTGTCCTGTTGCACTTTTGCCTCAGCTACCATTTATGATTTCCATTTAGGTCAATACTGTATCTAAAACAGCTATGCTTTGGCCAGGAGCTCTCAACATCACTCTAACACTGAAATCTGAAATGTCTTTATAAATTGAATTTGCTGGGTCCAGCACTGCTTGTGAAAAATAACCAGTTTATGAGACCTGCTCACCTCAGGACAAAGCACAGCACAGTCCTGCTGCAGGGACTTCCATGCTGCAACACAGCAACAGCTTCCATTCTCACAACTCATTATATCAATGCTGGTTTTCAGGTATGAGCCAGTAAGAAGCCAGAAGGAAGGACTTGCAAGGGACTGGCAGGAAGAAACAGAGCTAAGAACATTTGCCCAAAGCAAAGAAGCGGAGAGGGGGACAATTTTATTCCCTCAGTGCTGAGGACTGGCTTCTGCACTACCCACCGCATAGCCTAACAAGCCTGAGCCCACAAGCAAGGTGAGATTTCTCTAATTTCTAAATTAGAGTAGCATATTTAATCAGAGGGGTGTCCTGAGGTCTGAAGTAGTAAAGAACTGCTTAGACATGAGTACGTGCTGACTTCTGGAGCTGCAGGGGCAGAACGAACCCCTCTGCCAGAGAAGAAACAAAAAGACGCAGGTAACAAGAAACATAAGGTTATTGGACACTCTCTACCCTTTAATGGCTTTAAGATAACAGTGCCAACTCCCCAGATTCTCACAAAATCTCAGTGCTGGTCTTGTGGCAAGATCTGCACTGTTCCATGAGAAGCAGGATCTGCTGTTGCTTTCCAAGGCTCCATCCCCATATACTCGTCCTGTATACAGGCAGCATCATTCTGTCAGCAGGGTCTCTGCTGATCCTGGATGGTCAGAAGTCAAGTGCTTCAAGTGCTCCAAGGCAGTGGTTGCAGCAATGTTCAGCTGCTAATCCTTTCAGATGAGCAGAGTATATGCTTGGTATCAAGTGTCCAGCTGGGTGCATACAGCTGTTCTGGCACTAAGCATCACAGTTTGCTCTGAGCAAACTCCAGTGCAGTAGTCAGGGCTCCCTGCATGCCTTTGGCATTTCCACTGCCCTTAGCTACGATGGGAGAGCCTCCTGCTTTCCCTTCCATCTTTGTACAGACAGCCACAGCCCAGTCAGCAGCAGAGAACACAGGAAGGCAGTTCTGGGGAAGAGACACAGGCAAGTTATTTTTACCGTGGGGCAGCCTGAAGTCTATGAATAAAGAAAGGTAACAGCATCCTCTCCTCACTCAGCCTGAGGTAGTCATGACTGTGAAGATCACAAAGGCTGAGCTTACATGTTAACGCTGTGTCTTGCCCCTGGGCAAACACAGCCTGGAGGATCCAGGGATATCTGTGCCCAGCAGAGACTGAAAGCACATCTGGTGCCAGTACAGTCCTCTCAGGTCCTGCCCCTGTGTGATTAACTACCAACACTGGGCACAACTCCAGGAAAAGCCTGAAGCAGGACCTGCTGAGCAGTGGGTCCAATCCCCCTTGGCAGGCAGGGTCCCCTTGTCTCTATCAGGGTTCTGTTTACCTTGGACACCTGACAGGCACAGAGCACCTCACCCGAAGCTTGAGGGCTGAGCAGCAAGACTGATGTGCCAGGAGACTTGTCACACAGCTTGTTCACTACTTTCATTAGGATCTAGGAGAGGCAGGGAGAAGAGAGGTCAGTCAACAGCAAAGGAGATGAGCAACTCCTTCTTACTGTTTGCAGCACCTGAGGTACCATTGGGCCAAGAAACAATGTGGATTACTCACAGAGAGGGAATCAACTGGGACAGTATCAATGATGACAGGCTGGTTGCAGTATTTTGCTAGCAAGATTTGTGCCACTTTCTCAGCCTGGAGAGAGAAAAACACAGCACTTTGAAGGGCTACAGGTGGCACAGGGTGGGTTGGATGGGGATATATCCATGTAGTATATACATAAAGGGAATGCAAGCGCTGCTCTGTGGGACAGACAGGAGATGTTTGATAGCAGAAGTCAAATTAAGACTAGCAGGCTGAAATCTCCATGTGGAGACAGCCCTCCTTCCTCAAATGCAAGCAGAGATGAACCCCTGTCAAAAGTGGAATAGAGTGACTCATTCAGTCTCCAGACTCTCTCCTAGACTTATAAAGTGCCACATTTTTCAGGAAGGGTTCTGTGGCAAGATGCTCCTACTCTAAGGAAAGGATAGCTCTTCCTGAGATCTCTGAGTTACCAGTAAGTATTTCTAATCTGCTTTCAATGTAAATTGTCAGAACACAAATATGTGTGGGAAGCTCAGCAAGATCCATGTAGCTGGAAGAAAGACTATCCTGTCACTGTCTGACTGTACAACTTTGTTAAGCCCACTGTGAGAACCATCTCATCTTCTCCATGCATAAAAAAAGTGATGCCCAGTGCCTATTGGTGTTGGCCAGAAATGCTGGTACAGGGCTCTCTGTTCTCACAGGTAGGGAGCCATGGAAATTCTGCAAGTGCTAAGAGCCCAGCCAGTCATGCTCTGCATTTTAAACAATGGCCAGTGAAATTAACCCAACACAATGCTTGTGCTGCACTGTGCATGATTGTACGGGCTTTCTTCTGCCTTCTGACACCCTAGTGACTGAGTGGCTATGAAGTGTGACAGAGAAACCAGGTCCACTGGTGTGTGCTACAGCTGGCTGCAAGTCTGTGCTGCTGCCTCTGTACCTGCTGCAGCTCCAGTTTCTTGACAGCTGTGTTGGCTGTTCGCTGTAGTACTTTCAGGATGGTCTGCAGTTCTTTTCTCTGCCACTGGGGCATTGCAGCACTGGCCACCACCTGCAAGACAATTTGCTCTGTAAGAACATTAAACTACCCCTAGACAAAGTGCTAGTTCTCTGGAAGGTCAGGCTAGAGCATGGCCTCTTCCCAGACCCTGCTTTAACCCACGTGATCAGGGCAGTCAGTTACTGTGCTGAGCAGCTTTCTCTTTTCAGCTGCCATCTGCAACACAGCCACCTGGACGCTGGCAAAAATCCTTATGACCAAGGAAGCAATAGCAAGTAGCAACTTGCCCTTGCTACTGACCATGGTAAGATGTGAACCTGATAGGGAAAAAGTCATGTGTCTCATGTGCCCATGCTGGGCTCTTTCTGTACAGGAGTGTAATCCTTACTTTAGTCAACTGGCCCACTTCTTTGGAGAGGTCCTGCATCTTAGGAATAGAGGTGATCCTCTGCTTCATTCGCAGGGAGACAGAGTCCACTTCCATAGCCAAGCACTGGCCTACTTCCCGGGCCTGCAGAGATGGAAGGAATGCATGCTTCATATGCAGCAACAGAAACTATCCACAGGGATGAAGAAAGTGGGGAGAAAGCAGGGTCATGAACATGGAAATGCTCCTCAGAATCCAGTAAGAAGACACAGATGGTTTAGGAATGACTGTTACTGCAAGACTCTGAAATACAAGATTCCTCTCCAGATTTGCAATCAACACTAGATGGTCACATTTAGGCAGACCAAGCTGTCGAGCTTTAAGTGGTATTTATGGTTGAAATTCATGTTTACTCAAAAATTTGCACCAAAATCATCAGGATTTCATGGAGGAAAAACTGGGGAGCTCTGTGGAACATCTTAGAAATCTTTTTCCATTAGCAAATGCAATCTTGAAACTGCTGACTGAAGAAACAAGAGAAACACTAACATTAAAAGAAACCTCATCAGCTGTTCAAGCATATTTCCTGAGTTTATCCTGATATATTTCTTACTGTTTTCACCAACAATTACTATTAATTATTTTTTAAAAAGCTATTACAAGCTTTTTTCACCAGTGCCAATCCTTATGGTTTGGAGTATTTCCTCCCTGCCAGATCTCTGTGCCCAGGATGGTCCTGCAAGACCATCTGCAGGACAGCAGAGGACTGCTCTGCCTAGCTAGGACACACAACCCTCATTTCAAGTAATTCTCTGAGACCTGCAGTCTCCTTTGTCTCATTAACACTTGCACAGAGCTCCTCTCAGGAGCTCTCCAGGTCAGCAATTCCAGCAAAGCATGCAGTTCTGCCCTGCAGCTTTTTGTTCTTCTGCATGAAGAAAAGCCTCTCTGGGACATAGATGCACAGGGAATGGCCAACCAAAAACTAACAGATTTGCACGGGTGGGCTTTGCCTTTAGTCTTTCCAATTCCAGTGACTATGAGTCATCCTCCTCTGACATCAGCCTTAAAGAGGGAAGGCTTATGGGGCACCTGACACTTCCAAATACTCAAAGGACAGAGTGATCTCATGAACACAATAGTAGGTTACTTACTTACACAGAACCAGCTAGACCAGAATCACAGTTTAGCAGGAAAAAGACTAAATAAAGAAAGCAAAAGGGCTGTAAGAATGAGGCCAAAACCCTTTAATCATAAAGTGCAAATCCAGCTGTAATATGCAGGAGCCAAAATCAATGTACAAAGAATTACATCTTAAAATATCTACTGGGGGATTGAAATTCATAGACCAGGGGCTACCTGATATTTTGTGCAAGTTTTTATCTTGGAAACGGATGTCTGAAGGGAGAAAATAAGGTCAAGGAGACAGAGAAGTAGGATGAGAGGAAAAGGAGGTGAATAGCGAGGTACAGTAGCAGAGCTGAGTCCAAGGCTGAAGCAAGATGCCAGATGAGGCACAGCAGGGAGGCTCCAACCAAAGCAGTGGGGATCTAATTGTCTATGAGGAGCCTATAAAGTTTGGTCCTTCTGGCATTGCCTCGACATGGCAGAAATCTCAGTTCCCTCTTTCTTACCTCTTTGGCTCGTCCCCCTGTCACTGCAATGAGACGGCTAATCCCTTTGACGAGCTGACGTTCACTGATGATGGCCAGATCTTCCACAGATCCTGTTTGGAGAAGGTGCCTAAAATGTCAGCAGAGAACAGGAAAGAAAGCGAGTTGCTCTTTGCAAACAGAAATCAGGAACCCTGCTTTCTTTTTCGAAAACTCCAAAATCCAGTAGCCATTTCCTAATCCTAATCCCAATACCTTGAATCCTTTCCCATCCCTAAAATCCTGATGGTACCCTATGGAGAGGGTGCACAGCAGGCTGGCAGTCAGACAAAAGAGTCAACAGAAAGAAGCCAGCAGGACTCCTGTGTGTCCATTACAAGAAGAGAAAGAAGATAAAGGTAAAAGAAAACAAAAAACATCTGTGCTGCAAAAAACACCATGGAAAAACAGGATTTATCTGCATTTTTTATTTTTGGGGATGCTTTCTCAAAATAGTGCTTCCACCAATGGACTTGAGGGCTGTGATAATGGCCAATGGGAGGGGGTTCACTTTGGGGTCAGAAGGGTATAAAAACACTATGTATGAGCACAGTAAAAAACTTGGATAAAGTTTATTAAGGATCTGCTTTGTGTCATGTCTGCTCTGACAGTGACAGTACCCTGTAAGGCAAGAGACAGCAGAGTTGGGGCTACTCCAGAGGAACTTCTGTGCTACCTGCCCAGCAGGCTCCAGTCAAAAAGTGCAGCAAAGTTGTGTCCTTCTTTGCTCTCCTTCAGCAGTGAGATGAATTGGAATTTTTCGCTTTTACTCATCTGCTACTCCACCACTCTCTTGTCAGGCCAGCTCACTGCCTGACCAGTAGACTCCAGAGAAAGGATAGTTGTGCAGTCTCAGGACACTGACAACCTCCCTTTTCCTTCTTGTTTATTCAAGGCTGGATAGGAAAAACTATGGTGTCTTGTTATCACAGTTCTGTTACCGCAAGTAATCATTCCAGACATCGTCATAAGAATTCATCATCTCTTCTCCCATGCAGTCTCTTGTCCCACTACTCCCACAAGAAGATCTCATGGCTAGAAAATTACTCATTTTCAGCTCTATCTGCTCTAAGGCCAGTTTGTTCCAGTTTTTTGGTTTTTTTTTTCGTGTCAGCACTGTCCTAAGATTGATTAACTTTTCTTCTACTCTCATTACTACTAAAAGCAGATGAGGGTGAAGATAATTAAAATAATCAGAGCAGTCTCAAGTTCTCACAGCTGAATTGGAGTCTCCAGCCCTTCTGCAACCCCAAAGGCAAAGCACCACAACCCTGATGTTACAGGTCATACACACCTTTCCCATACTCTGCTGGTGCTCTGTGGCTTCCAGGTTGGTTTCAGACTATGAAATAAGGAAAGATGCTGTGCATTTCATTAAAGTTTGCTCAGCCTGGAACTTCAAAAGCTTTGTAACTAGTCCATCTTGTCCTCACAATATTTTTCCAGTAAGGAAACTTAACTTCACAGGGACAGGGAGGTGAGCATGTCATGATGCTTCTATCTCAGCCACCAGTGCCCACAAACATACCTTCTAGCTGCAAGTAAAAGTCACTTACGTCCCACAGCAGAGCTCCACAGAGGTCTGCACTGCAGCCTTAGAGTCACAGGTCAGCACATTCTCCACAGGGACACCCAGGGACACTATCCTCACTGGATCAGGATACCCCTGACAGAGGAGACAGGGATCAGCAGCTAACAACATGGTTATTCAGGGGTGCTTACAGACTAATTCCATGGCTTCAGGTGTCTGCCTCATTTTCCCCCTGTTCTAGAGCAGCCGCTGAGTCGGGGGTGGCACTACTTCTCCCCCACAACCAGCCACCAATGGGGAGAAAGAAATAATTGGTAACACGACAGGCTTTTGGTGCACAGGCATAAGTAGAAAGCCTGTGCATCACCAGGCTCCATGTTTTACAAGTTTCCTGAGATCTCATCTCTGTCCTACTTTCCCTTCCGAGTTCTGGGAGACAATTCCCTTGCAGAAACATGTTGTGTCAACATCTTGTGTCCCAGATGATTCCTGCTGAAGGAGAAGGCTCATGAAGGTGTGTGCTGCCATCCTATCATACCTCATCCACTGCACGAAGTCCCTGAACTCTTCTTGCCAGTGTGAGGGGGACTTCAGCCATATGCACCACCTCATTTTTTTGGATCAGATCCTGGACCACTTGCTCCACTTGCTGCAGCTGCTCCACAGTCACATGGCCCTGAGAAAGCAAATCAGCCATGTTCAGGAAAAACCTCCTGAGAAGTACAAAACGAAGGAGGGAGAATGCGGGCACAGCCACCAGATGACTCAGCTTGGGCATACCACTCTTCCCCTGCATCTCATCTTCTCTGCTTGTAAAAGGGAACTGTGAACATCATGGCACTCCCACCTTCTCTTCCCATGAGAGAGAAGGATTTTTGATGCAAGAGCATCAGCCAAAGTCTTCAAAGGAGATACTGGAATGAGTGACAGATTACCAGGGCCAGCACTCAGCCTGACCCAAAGCTTCACAAATGCTCTCACCTGAATGTCCAGTACTGATATCAGATATGTGCCACAGCCAAGCACTATCTCTCAAAGACTCCTTTACACTATTTTGTATCAGTCTCATGACCACTGGCCTTGCTAAGGGTCCTTTCCCTTCTGACCCCCATTCATCCCTCAGGAAGCCCTGCTCAGGGTCAGGTTAATGCAAAAGGACCAAGCTTCATTACTCAGATAAAATGTGGCTTGTCTTTGAAGGAGTGATTATGGGGAGAGGGGAAAAATCCCTGGAGAGAAGAGCTGTACTGGTAAGTTGGTACTGCTGAGAACTGGATTTCAGAGTCACCTTGGTATCAAAGTCAAAGCGCAGCCGCTCTGCTGTCACATGGGAGCCCCGCTGCTCAGTGCTGTCACCCAGGACACGTCGGAGTGCAAAGTTCAG